CTCCCCATGAGGAAATCCCGCGGGCTGAAGAGAAATGAGTCACTTGCTAAAGTCTCCCGCCGATAAATCCCAGTTTCGGGGAACCTTTCTCTGAAGTGTCCCTCCGACTCCCGGTGCTCGGTTTTGTTCCTGCCGCTCTTCGGTCTCCCCCGCGCAGCGACCGACACGCCGGTTTCCCCCCAACCGCCCAACCAGCGCCGGAGCACGGCTGGGACGGTAAACCCAGCCCGCGGATTGAGGCCTAACCTGGCGGGAAGCGGTTCTCCGCTGTGATAGTAACACACACAACAACAGACTGCGAGAATTAAAGTGGCGTAAAGAAAAGTAGGAATACAATAAAGAGCGAAACTAAGAAGGCCTAAAGCAGAGAGAAGCGCTAAATGTTTCTCTCTGGGTGACATGGCGGCAGCGCGCCGCCGGAGGACTCTCATATCCCATCATGCTGCTGGTCTGACGCTACTTCTTCTTCTCTGGATTTTACGGTGTTCGACGTTTTGTTGCAGCGCCAACTTCCGGCCTGGAGGTTGTTGTTTACGTAGATTTTCAGAATAAAGGCCTTTTATTCTGAAAATCTGTGGTTTATACTGGAGAGACAAAAACTGTCTTTATTTATTTATTTATTTATTTATTTATTTATTTATTTATTTATTTATTTGTCTATTTATGCCTTTCTACCATTACGTCATACAAGCACATACATAGATATATATCTATATAAATATATATTTATATAGATATATATACATCTATATATACATATAGCTATATGTATATATAGATGTATATATATATATTTATATAAATATATTTATATATATATATAAATATATATATTTATATATATATATATAAATATATATATTTATATATATTTATATATATATATTTATATCTATATGTATATATATATCTATATATACATATAGATATATATATGTATATATAAATATATATTTATATATATATTTATATATACATCTATATATACATATAGATATATATATGTATATATAAATATATATTTATATATATATTTATATACATATATACATATATCTATATATACATATCTGTATATATATATATATATGTATATGTATGTATATATATATAGATAAATGTTCCCTTATTGAGTTTGTAATCTACATTTGTTCCACTAGACTTAAATTAAATTAATTATTAAGACAACAGTTAATAAATAAAATAGGGTTGTTATTCAAACCGGTTCATACAAGCACAACTGAAACAATTCGTCAGCAGACAGAAAATTACCTGGCACCTAGTTTGATAATTGTTTACTGTGTGGCATTAGTCGTGATCATTTTTATTTATTGGTTTCGATTGTTGGTTGGATAAAACATTGTGAAAGTGAAAGTGAAATTTCACTGTACTACAAACATTCCTCTGCCAGCTGTAGTTTGTTACCAAGTATCATTAATATTAATTCATGAATGAAATGTGTAATAACAGAACACTGTCAATGTTCAACCTGCTGTATAATTAGTACTAATACTTATAGTGTATTTTGCTGGTGGTACTAGTACAACAACCACAGGTAATGTCAATGGAGCCAGTTCCATCAATAAAACCGTTGAGTTTAATCTGTGGACCTTTGAGTTAAGACACAGAGAACTGGGTTCAGCAATTTATTGTTATTATTGAAATATAAACACAAAACATTTTATAATGTAACACAGATTAAAGAATGGAAACATAAAGCCAACCCTTATTACATTAACAGAAATAATGCTTTGTGCATCAGAAAGAATGTGTTGATGGAGGCATGTGGTTGTTTTTATTGAGAGGATATTGTGTTTGAATAGTTGTTCTTCTGTTTTCTTGTAGATTTATTTTTGTAAATCAAAGTTTTAATGATTTTGTTCGGCTGCTACCTCGGCCAGGTCTCTCTCTTGTAAAGTAGTTTTTTGATCTCAATGGTAAAATGAATAAATAAATGAACAAATAAATAATGCTGCCCTGAGATTAATACTCATGAAGTATGGTTGTCATAAAGGGAATATCACAATCACTGTAAGTCACTCATTATATTCCATGTTAATGTACAGAAACAAGAACTGTTCGTTTAATCAACATTTTCTAAAACACCACTTCTCGTTCCTTGACCGCGCTCCTGTCTTTCGCACCGAGTCCGCACATTTGGACCTCAAAGGTTTTGTCAAATGCGCTGTAGTCCACACGAAACGCCCCTTTCTCCAAAGAAATGCACGACTCAAATCGGTGGCCCCAGAGGACCTCATCCTCCGTGTAGGACGTCCTCGCCTGGCATGTCATACCTGCAACACAACAAAGCATCAGAGGGTCAATAAATGTGACTTTATCGGAAAAAAAGACCTGAGAAATCAGTTCAGAACAGCATGTGTCCACTTTTATGCAAATACAATTTAAAACTCATCCTTTTCTCTGTTTCTGGACCTCCATCCAACTTTTCAAAAATACTAATTTAAGGTACTGTCAGCGAAGTAAGTAAGTGTCTTAAACCTGCACAACACACAACTTGTACCATACTGAATGCTACCCACATCGTCTAATCTCATCACAAAGCCAAATAGACCTGATTGTAGGATAAAATAAAGGAAATAATAAGTAATATGATATGATTAATAAGGCAAGTTTAGCTAACTGAGTGTTCAGGTCTTCAAAAAATATTTAAAAAATATAATTTCAAAACAAATTGCTTCAGCCTACTGTGTATATTTTAAAGTTTTCTTACATCCCCTAAAATCAAGAAGGCCTTGCGAGGCCCAGTGAAGCTTAGTTGGGGTTCCTACCCTCATGTTGCTCTATGGTGCCCTTCCAGTGGACAAAACACGATAAAGTGCCCTCTAGGATGCCATCCTAACCCAGACTAATCAGTCCACCACTGGCTGGCATCAAGTCTGAGTCAGAGCTGTATCCTGAAGATCAATGCAGGTTTAAACCTTTTAAACCAACCACATTTCATATCAGATGCACCATTTGATTCTTCTTTCAAGACAGAAAAGGATCTAAAAATGCAACATTCCTAAATGTAGCTGCTTTACAGTGCACATAACCTTAGTTGGTGGACAACACAAGACTTAAAAATACTTCTACAAACCCGAAGCCTCCACGATGCCCTCCAGGATGACAATGATCTCAAAGGTCTCCCTCTTCAAACGCTCGGACCCCACCTCCCAGAAGGGGCTGTTTTCATTGATGACGTGGGTAATGGTCTGAGGTTCCACCAGCAGCAGCCTGTCTCCCCCGGTGTCGTAGCCCAGATTGATTTCTGACTGCTCCAGTGGGATGAACTCGCCCTCCTTGGTCTGCCGTGACTTGATCAGCTTGGCGCGGATCTTCGCATCCACCATGTGACTCTCTCGCAGATCCCCAATGCGGAAGAGCATGCACAGCTTCTCGTCACGCTCACATATGACGCAGTGCTTGCTGAAGATCAGCGTCTGGGCTCTCTGCTGCGGGCGGGAGATTTTAACAAACATGCAGCCCACCATGAGAGCATCGATGATGGAGCCGAGGATGGATTGGACCATCAGGAGTATCGTCCCCTCAGGGCAGTTGGCCGTCACCATCCTGTAGCCGTACCCGATCGTCCTCTGGCTCTCTAACGACAGCAGCAGGGCTGAAAGGAAACTGTCTACGTTTTCAAAGCAGGACTTCCACTGTGGATCGTGAACGTGTGCAATGTCGTCACGCAACCAGGCACCGAAGAAGTAGATCCCACCAAAGGCCACCCACGTGAGAATGTAGCACATAGTGAAGACGAGAAGGAACCAGCGACACTTGAGGTCGACTAACGTGGTGAAAATATCTGAGATAAAGCGGCTCTTGTCCGCAATCGGTCCCAGATTGACCCTGCACTTGCCATCCTTGGTGACGTAACGCTGGCGCTGATTGCTGGCAGCAACGTGCAACGAGTCCTCGTCGCCCAGCAGCTTACAGCGCTTCTTGTGACTCTTTGAGATGTGCAGCTTCTCGATTGCAGAGACGGGAAGGCTGCTGCTGCCAGTGGAGCCTCTCGATTGCCACCTGGAGCTGAAACGCTTTAGGTGTCTGCTGCGATGCAATTGCTGAGGCTTTGGCATCTCTTCTACTGGTTCCAGAGGAGCTGCTTGGATAGTGTGCTGCTGGGGTGGCTCTTGCTTAGCCAAAGTCAGAGCCTGAGAGGACAGACTGCAGGGACTCTGGGTCCGGGAGGGAGAGGCCTCCTGGGACGGGGGGAGTGATGGGCAGTTAACGTAGTTGTGGATGAGAGAAAGTCTTTTTGTGGTCATCACGGAAGCAACAGCGGATTTAGCTGTAACCTGAAATGAAGGAAAACAAAACCACATGAATAAACAAGTAGATACATAATTTATGTCAGACTGAAAGCTGTCCAAACCTACAAAATGTGGCTCTGGATGCAGTGTTCCCATTGGGTCCTCAGTATTTAAAAGTTACTCGTTCTAGTGTCCGGTGCTATGATCAATCCTTGAGGCTACGTGTCTTGTCTTGTTCACTTTGTGGTAACTTTTATAGACAAGCAGAGACCATGAGTCAGGCTGCATCTAACCTCTATAAACAGATATGAATGCATAATCTGTAGGTGAGGGACAAGATTTTGGTATCAGAAGTGTCCTGGTCTTCATGTATAGTCCAAGAAGTATTGACTAATCACGTTTGAGCGGGCTTTGGTTGCATGCAGGTAAACAGTCCGTGTAGAGAACAAAAGAGGTGGAAAACATTGGCGGACATGCAGGACGTGTATGTGGGATTTAGTGGCATCTAGTGGTGAGATTGCAGATTGCAACCAACTGAAACTACGGTGGCTGCAAAACTCATGAAAAAGCAAAAAGGCTCTTATTTACTACTACTATAGAAACATGGCTTCAACATGGCGGACTCCGCCACAAGAAGAACCCGCGCCCACAACAGTTCTTAATTTCAGGTAATTAAACACTAATGAAAACATACCCATGAATATTATATTCCATTTCTGCCAATAGATCCTCTTAAATGTTACAAATTGGACCTTCAAGTTGCTGAATATTGTTTTTTTTAAGTGAGGGAAGGACTTAAAAAAACCACAGGGCATCATATAATATAAGGAGCTCTACCTTGCAGGTGTAAGGAGCGTACCGGATGGACTCTGGCTGTGGTCTGGGCAGGTATGCCAGCAGATGTTTGGCGGTGAGGGTCTGCGTTGGGGGGATGGAGTTCCTGCGAGGCTCGATCCTGATGGGGCTCCTGATGTGACTCTTGCACTCGGCGTTCTGTAGCGTCTCTCTGCTGCACATCACAGTGGAGATCATTGCTGAGGTCTTCAGTGTGTGTGTGTGTGTGTGTGTGTGTGTGTGTGTGTGTGTGTGTGTGTGTTGTGTGTGGATTACGCCACAGGTTTTACTTCTGTTCAGCAACGAAATGAAATCGAATTACGTCAGATATTATATATAAATATTATTTATTACAGCAACTAAATCTCTCTTGTTAGTGCTGCCTCAGTACTTCTACAGGTACAGGTATTATCTGCTTATAATTCATGTGTTTTAAAGTGTACATTTCAAAGATATTGATGAAATCTTTGCTTCATTCTATGCCGCTTTTTCCTTAATTGACCCCTTTTCTATCATTTATTAAACTGACTAAGTGACATACTTTATGTATATTTCATATTATATTAAAAACTGTACAATGAACCCAAACAGTGAACTCAGTGATTACAAGAATTATGTTTAAAACAAGTGACTTGGAGGAATATTGAGCAGATTATTTCCTATTTATGAAACTTTTAATACAATTCTCTGTCTGTATTATGTATTTTGCCATTTTTTAACAATCATACAGACTTAGTAGGCTTCTCTTTTTTTTTGAAAAACTGAGTGTTTTGTCTGATGCTTGGCCCTTGTTCTATTGGACTATTTACTTCATATTCACTTTTCATCACAAAAGTGAGCCAAAAGCTGTGATCCAGACCTACTGTGCATATTTTATAAGTTTTCTAGCACGCCTTAAAACCGTGAAGCTTTGGCGACCCCTAGTATACTAATACTGTTGTATTCAATAACTGTCGGTGAACATTCGGCCCCAGTTTGGTGACATTCTGATGTGATAAGACAGACACTTTCCCTTTTGGAGGAGCCTAAATCATCACTATTTTCATTTTTTGGGGGAGAATCCAAACATCAGCTTAGTAAACTAATATTTTAATTCAACCATGCATTTCAAAAATTAGACTGATCCTGTGCTGAAGTCGTGTGCCGTGCTACCTCGGGTATCTCAAAAACTAAAGCCTTTTTAGGGATTTGTGGAAATGGATAAGAATACAGTCATGATAATTAATACTGTGTCGAGGGTTTTTGATTCAATGTAACATCTACAGGATTTACATTTGCATTTTCATCTTGTTGTTAACTCAACCAACTCCCTTCCAAGACAGAAATCCAGATACGAGCCACAGATCAACGTTGTGTGATAACGTGCCAAAAACAAATGTTTCTTTACTTTCACATCAGCTCAACACGAGGTTTCATCAGTCTGAAGTGGGCTGATCAGTTTCTGAGTCACTGCTGCAACTTATTACACATGTAGGGATTATCACTAATCCTCAAAAATTAATCGGAGAAACACCAAGGAACACGGTGGATTTGAGAAGATTACCGACTGTATATTCAGCAGAAGGCTTAGAGAAAGTATTGTCCAGATGTGGCCAAACAAACTGGGGTGAATTCACTCGTGTGCTACAGCTGAGGTAAGACAGCTACATAAGTATGTCTTTTGAAGGAAGTATTCCTCATTCTTACTCCATCCACTCATGAATATTAGACAACTATGTCATTTCTTTGCAAGAAAAAAACTAAATTCAGCTCACAGAACAATACTGAAGGATGCACATCAGAGGAAAAGACTCTGAAAGACTCCAGGTTAATTTGTTTGGCAGCAAATACTTGGAGTTACTGTAATTAAGTGGAAGAATACCTTCATGAACTTATTGGAAATTCAATTATTTAGAGAAAATATGAGTTGTTTAATCCTTTTGTTGATTAACAGAGAATTAACCAGAAATTATTTTGATAATCGATTGACTGTTTTTGATTAAACATCCTCTGCTTCCTGCTTCTCCAACGGGAGGATTTGCTGCTTTTTCCTTGTTTTAATTTATAGTTTACTGAATATTGTTGTTATATGACATTCACAAACATCAGCTTTGAATCTGGGACATTGGAAATAGCATTTTTTCACTATTTTCTGATGTTATATCCACAAAAAAAAAAAAAATCAATTGTGAAAATAATAGAATAAATAATGAAAAATTATGTTTGCCCTTAAAATTATTTGGAAATTACCTGTAAAATAAAAAGATACCAAAAATACATTTAATCTACCACAGTGTTTTACAGCTTAATTACACAACATAAACAGTTAAGTAAGTTTGAAGTAATTGAGTGTAAAGTAGTAACTAACATTACACTAATATTAACATTTTTTAATATTTGAAATGTTAAAAGATGAGAAAGCCTCACGATCTACAGATAGCTGAAATTGCTATTTTCATTTGAACAATATTGTTAATATACTTACAAAAAAATCTTGTTTTTTCTGATTTATCCTCCAAAAATAACTCTAGAAGATAAAACAATGACAGACCTTTGTAAAGCATAACTCCAGATGAACACAGCTGCTGGCAGATGTGAACCTCCTTGTTGGAGTCATCAGGTTTGATCAAAGGAAGGAGGAGACGTGAATCCAGATGTTTATCTCCTCCCCCCCGCCGAGCCAATACTGACAACTCTCAACCCCCAACGTTAGGTCTTAGCTTAGCATAAAAACTGGAAACCACTAGTATGATTCTGTGCAGCACCTCTGAAGCTCATTAATGAACTCGTTATATCTGGTTTATTTAGGATAAAACAAAGGAACATTTAGAGGGAAGCAGCTGATGTCAACCCTTTAATAACATTCAACACAGCTCAAACTCTATAAACTACAGACTATACTCCGTTTTTATACGTTAACAGGCTCAGTCACCTCAGTAATCTCAGAATGTCTTTCTATCCATTATGTTGACCAGTGCTGTTATTTTAAGAAAATGTCTGTCTGAGTAAAGTAATGGACTTCCTTAAGAGGGTTGAGAGCCTCTGCTCTAATAGATGGTTCATAAAACTAAAATAAAAACAAGATTATGAAATTCCTCGACTGTGTAACCCTGCAGGAGCAGCCGGGGACTGAGTCACTCCACCTACCGAGTCACAGAAACCATTTATAAAGACACCATGTTTAATCTTCTGTGACAGTATAAGTATAAAGACAATCATTATGTACAGGCAAGGTCGGCGTCACCATCACATCCATTACAAACAGTCTGGAAAAAGGTTCTGAAAAGTTGAATCTTTTGGTTTATTTGGTCAAGTAATAAATACATTATAGAAGAGTTCAGTTGGAAGGCTTGTACAAGAAAACAAATGGAAGGTCCAGGGTTTGTCTTTTTTAGAGCTGGATGGTTCATTAATTCAAACTTTAATTAACAACGTGCAGCGACACTAACGCTGAATACGACATCACATATTAGCAGATGGCAGCCGCTGGTTACACAACCTCAGTTGGCTGTGTGGAGATATACGTTGGAGGATGTAAAGAAGCCTCTGTGTAATCTCTGCGGGACTAATTGCAGTTGGAGAAGGATTGATTACAACCAGCTTACATCCTCACCAGAGAGGGCAAACTGTTCCACCTCCACACATTTAAAACGTATGTTTGTTTATATTCAATGAGACCGTAAATGGAAATGAATTAAGGTGTGAAAAGTGCTTTTAGTATCTTTCTGATGTTCCATCCCGAGCATCTATTTGATTTTGGTCAGCGCTACGGCTCTCCTCTCGGTGTTCTGAAACAGAGCCCGGATCAGATTCTTCACCTCCGAGCTGGAGAACTCCACGGCCAGCGGACCTTTACCGTCGGCCCACCTGTGGGGAGGAATCAGACACATCAGACAGGCACACGTACAACAGCAGGGTGGTAACCAGGAGCTCTACTTTCAGAGCTGAAGGGGCGTTTACTCGTCATGAGGAATACTTCTGAATGGATCTGTCAGGTTATCGACTTATTGAACATATACGGACACGACCTTCCAATGTGACCCCAGTATAAAACAACAGGTTTAGGAGATTTCATATCACAATACCTCACACAGAGCAGATTGTTTATCATCCAGAGAGATTTTCATGCAATTTAAAATACTTGAAATGAGCTTAAAATACAAATTTAACTATAAAATAGAATAAGGTAAACCAGTGCAGTACACAGGAGGAGGAACAATGACTTCAGTATATATAAATAAATACATACAGGAATAAAAAAAGAACAAATAAATGCTGAAATAAGTCAATAAAAGTTGATAATTTTATATTTATCACATTCATTTCTACATTTTCATACACACATTTATTTATTTCTGTATGTTAATGAGGCAGGAGGTCCTAAGCTGCTCCTCCTCCATAAATATTATTCACTGTACTTAATGAATTAAAGCCTGAATCTATTATTACTGATAAAAGTAACTACAGCTGTATAAACATATTTAGGGCATTTTATAGATTCATTGATACTCTCTCACCGCGTTTCTGTCTCACCTGTCTACGATCTCCTGCAGGTTGGCCCGCAGCACGATGACCAGCTCCTTGAAGGTGCTCCACTTCTTCACGTAGAGGGGAACCTCCTCCTGGTACTTCTTGTTCTTGTTCTCCTCCGCCAGAGGGATGAAGACGAGCGGGCCCTCCTCAATGATGGTTTGGCACAGAGTGTGGAGGTGCTCCCCGTCCTCGGAGGAGATATCCTGCAGGCAGTTCAACAGTCATCATCCATCATATAATAATCAGGTACTCTACGAGGTCGTTTATTAGTGTCTGAACTTAATGAACTTGGGTTTTATCAACCTGGGACAAACAAACAATCTGACCCCTCCTACTGATGGAATCTGTGCTGTAGAAATTTAGATCCATTACAGGTGATTAAACTCGCTTTTATTTGCTAATTTACTCTGCTGGGACGATATGCTTATCACTTTCGGTGCAGATATGATACGTATTGCAATTCTTTGTCTAAGTATTGTGAATTTTGCTCTCTTTTTTTAACACCAGACCATGGAAAAAAATTGAATCATAATCTTCTAGAGACTGTAGATCATGGGTCATATATCTGAAAACAACAAACATCCCATGTCAGTCAATAAAACATTTTATTTATCATTACTATACTGCAAACAGTGGTCAATTAAATACTTGTTGATGTAAAACTGTCACATTCAGCCGTTCCCGCTCATCAAGAGAGAGCTATAATAATAATAATAATAATAATAATAATAATAATAATAATATGACAAATATAATGTGCAGTATACTGTATGTGTCTCCTACTCGAGGCGGCTGTATTTTTAAAGACGTTGAGAACTTTGAGCTGGTCAGAGAAGCAGATTGAGTTAACAATGTGAGGTCTGCAACTATTAGTTCATTTCCAAAGAGAATAAGAAATACGTGCCTGTAAACATGAGCACATATGTGAAGTAAAACCACAGTTTTACCACAGTAACACTGTTTGGAGGAGAGCCCCAGAATCTTCGTCCATACGAACCAAATCTTAAGTTTATGTGAAAGGACCATAATGAAAAACAATAAAAGACAAACCTCCAGCATCATGATTTTGGCGATGACCTCTGTGATGGCCGTGTTGAGCAGGTTGCCCATGGCTTTACAGTAGATGCTGACCGGGAGGACGTCCTGCCACACTGTTCCCAACTGCTTCAACTGATGGATGACCTGCAATCAAGCACACAGATAGTGAGGGGCTAAGCTAGAATTAAAATTTTCCAGGACAACATAGATTATTATGAGGATATTTGGTTATTTTTATCCATTTCATGGTATTTCCGTGATTAGAAAACTAGTTTCTAAATATCCAGGTTTTCCAGGATGGATGGAAAACATCGAATGCAGCCTCACAACTGACTCATTATTAGAACAAATGTTATTTTGGAGGCCTTTCTCTCTCACCTGTCTCACTGCCTTGCTGGCTGCAATGTAGTTGTCTTCATCGTCCAGGTTGCAGAAGTTGTGAGCGGTGGAAAGTCTCTCTAACAGTTCAGCTCTCTGGACGTTCATCTGCGCTAAGAAACACTGGGCACCTGGAGGGAAACGACAAGATCAGCATATTTAAAAGGCAATCTGAAGATTAGACAATAATATTTGGAAAGTTTGGAAAGATTTCAATAAAATAAAGCCTTGTTATAGACAAATGTGTTGTGAGTCACCAAAATGATTAGGAATCAGCTTCTGGCGACTAAGAAGACAGTTGTTGAACTTTACCCAGTTTCCTGAATCCGGGCACCATGTCAACAAACGTTGCAACGCCCTCGCTGAGTGGCTGAGGCAGGTGAGCTCTGAAGTGGTGGCCCAGTGTGAGCAGGTGGTGAGCCAGGTACATGCAGTTGTTGTGCTGGATGGCCGCCAGGTGAGGGAACTTGAGCAGGTTCTCCCTGGATGGAGAAACAAAAGGCAACCATTTACACCTTCAGGGGAAATCTCTGTTATTCTTCTACAAGTTATAAAACAGAAACATCCTTACTTGTGGTACGTCGGTACGACATCGTAGAACAGCTGGAAGATGTTTCTAACGGTGAAGAAGAGTTGTAGCGCACTGAAAAGAACAACAGACAGATTTATTCACTCTTCTATCAAAATGTATTATGGAAATTTCCGGATCCCGTGAAGTTTGATTAAGCCTGAGGTCTAAAGCTCTAGAAACACGAGGTTAAGTGCCTCATACGTTGACAGCCTTCTTGTCAATTCGGCATCAATATAATCCATGAAGTGTATTCTGTACAAAAATCATGCATCAGGTGTTTGAGCACCATCACATACCATTGTGTGGAGCTCCCAACGGCTTCACACAGGGTGTTGAGTGCGAGCTCCATCAGCTGCTGCACTGACTCACTGATGCGACAGGCGGGCAGACACAGACTCCACGCAGACAGCTGCTTCGTGTTCTCCATTATCAGCTCCTCCTTTGTGGTCTCTTGCTTCACCTTCACCTCTGAACCTGGAGCGGGCAGCTTGGGAAGACGCAGCTTGTAGTCTGGTGTGATCTGACGGAGGAAGATTTAAAATAAATAAATAAATGGAAGCAATTAAATAAGACAAACAAAAAGCATCTGCAGATTTTGGGGGATGTATCACACACAGCTGGAGATTTAACACAGCTCCGGTACAGTAGGAGTATAATTAATAAAATTATTTGGACTTTGCCTGACTCCGGTCTGGGATCAGGTCTCAGTTACTAGGAATCAAGTAAAGATCAAACATCTGTATCACACAATAATTCTGGCAGCATCTTAAAGACTTAATTCTGTACTGGCTCCAATAACAGACACATTTTCTTTCTGGTTTGGAAAAGCGAGGGTTGTATTATAGTTGAGGACTAAAGATTTACATAATCACAACAGAACTTATCTCTTTATATTGAGCGGGTAGTAAGTGTGTGAGAAGAGAATAAAGAGAAGGAAAAAGTAGCTGCACAAACATGGGATTTACATTCTGCTTCAACTATTTAATGGTTCACTTGTATCACAGAAAAGGCTTTAAGGTTAAGAATTCCTTTCCTTAAAAACTATGCCTAAAGTTTCTTGAACTGACTCGATCCCCAGTCTACACTCGCCCCCCCGCCCACTCGCACATACTTTGACGGTGTTGTGCATCTTGGAGGTCATGAGTTTGCGGGCGGCCACGATCACATCTTTGCACTTCTTGCTGGCAAAGTGACAGTTGACGTCTCTGGCGTATTTGAGCAGGTCCGTGGAGTCGCCCTGCAGAAACTCCAGCTCCTTCAGACTCTTCTCAAACTCCTCGGTTTCTTTAATCACCTTCAAAACAAACAACAACAAACACAGAAATATACATTCAGTAAGAATGCAACTCTCTCTAAGGTTACACAGAATGTGCTACACACGCTGCCGTTGGCTCCATACAGTGTTGTATTTCTCCAGCTGGCTGCTGTTGGTCGGGATGGAGTAGAGCAGACACTCGTGGATGATGCACTGAGAAATCTCCTCCCAGATCAGTTCCCCCAAGATGGCCGACAGCTTTTTATCACCAATGGACACATCTGAAAAATAACAGACGCATTTACAGACTTTTCTTCCTCGAGCTCATTGTGTAATCTTTTAGTAAAGTCTGGATAATAAATCTCATATTCAAACTGTCACTTTATAATATCTATATATTCTATATGAGCCTCACTGTACCTAGCAGGTGTGTGTGCAGAGTCTTGAGCACCAGGAGCAGTTTGCTGTAGACCTGTGAAGGAGTGGATCTCTCTTCGGTGCTCTCCTCCAAACAGTGCAAGGCGAGGGTGGTTCCCTCGCTCTGCTGCTCCGTTACCCTGACGCACAGCGACGGGTACATCACCAACGGCTTCAGCATGGTCTTCAACAGCACCTGACCTGGACCACAACAACAACAGAAGTCAAGTTTACTTAGATAGTGCATTTAAATCCACCACGGTTGTACAAAAGTGCTGCACAAATTAAAGCAAAAGAGTGGTAAAAAAAAGACACATTAACAACAGCAAATATGTATGAAACAGAAACAGAAACGTGGAAAAGATTATACAGTGTTAAAACCACTAAGAGCAACTAAAGGACATGTACATCTTGAGTTTTGTCTTCAAAGCGTCAGCCGTTAGAAAACAGACCTCGTACATACATTGTGCTTTAGAGATTGGTCGATAGATTTATTATCTTATTGCACACACAGCGCTATAAATGCATACATCAGCCCATAAGTTAGAAGAAACTGCAGTGTAGTGACGCCAAATATACGCAGTGTCTCAATTAGAGTTAAACTCAGCACAAATGTTGGTCACATTAACTGGAATTAAGTGTCTGGTTCTCACATTTAATATACCGAATATAATGACACTATAATGCAAATCACGATGTATTTATTATATTATATAGTTATTATTGTTAAGACATTTATTTTCTGATTTGTTATTCAGTGAATTATATTTAAAGTTCAATAAATGTATGAGGTTTCCAAAGTCAATCAGTAATCGTGTTAATAAATGTGATCTCAATATTAAGATTATTATTTTTACCATAATCGAACTATCTGGAAACACATCTTTAATAGATTATAAAAGCACTGCATATTTATCAGTGACTTACTGAAGAGTTTGATCTTGTGCTGAAGGTCTCCCTGGATGGCGAGAGCTTGCAGGACGCAGCGCAGCAGAGGAGGTGGAGTCGTTTCCCCGTCCTTACTGCTGGCGTGGCTCAGGTTCAGCTCCACCTTCAGGAAGGACTTCAGACCTGCGGGCTCTGGGGGCGAACATCCAAACAGTCACTACTAATGCCTCAGACGAAATATACAAAACAAGACATGCTAACAAGTAAAAGCTTTATAAGTTATATAATGAAAGGTGAGCCAGTGAGAGCACCATCTTCTGTATAATCAGTATTATGTGTATACCTACGTGTAGACACTGTACGGAGAAAGCTTATTTAGTTTGATGAAACTATTATTTGGAGCAAAAAGTTCAAACTCTGACACACATGTTGAGAATTTTAAACCAGTTTAAAAAGGAGGAAGTTTCACCCTTTGAAGACGGTAACCTCCAGATGACGAGGCCCTTCCATTCGTCTCCCAGGTGGTAAATTAAGTTCTCTCTCTGCACCGTCAGCTCAGAGCGGAGAGCGCTGAGCAGCGGCAGCTGGGACGTCTTCCAACCTTTGAGTGAATCCACGCTGGCCCGCGCCTGGAAAAAAAACCTTTCATATCAATCAGCCTGTTAACGAGGAACTCAAGGAACACGGTTTCTATAGATCTGTATACATGTAGAACGTCAGTAATCAGATTTCTTCCCTAACTTTGACCTTATTTTACTTTATTAAAGCTTCTACACAGAAGGTGTTTCAGATGTCACTTACACTGAAGGTCTATTTTCTGACAGTATTTACATTTATATTTGCTTTCTTTTGTTCTCTGTCCTGTTTACTGAAGCCAAATGATGCCTACAGCAAACATTTTCTCTAACAAGTGAAAGCTGTTTTTCAGACAAAAACTTACAACATGCAGAAGAATCTAAATGAACTCCGTTTGTATGTTATAGTGTCAGTTAGTGATGAATTACCCTGCACCAGTTCAGAGTAGAGGAAAGGTTGTGTGATGTAAACAGCTCTCACCCGTTCCAGCTGGTTGGCAGCGTCCACGTACTTCTTGTCCACTAACGCTTTGTTGAACTCCTCCATTGCGTTGTGAAACTGAGACACACAGAAACATTCATTTATGTAAATGAAGGATTCTCAAAATAAAAGTTCCTCTGCTGATTCTGAGAGATTTTATTTAATGTGCGGCCACAAACTTTATTCTGTTTCTGTTTTAGGACAATGCATATCATAACTTTAATTATGAGCTCATTAGAAAATAAACTAATAGAAAAATATACAATATAATAATCATTTTTTCCTGAAGTTATTATATTTTATTTATGATATGTTCATAATTTTGTTGCCATGTGGAAACTCCCTGAAACTATTAATTAATGACTCCACTACATCTTATTTAAGGTCGTCCGTTGTACCTCTTTCAGGTGTCCGAGCATTGTTATGATGATAGTATTTTTCTCCAGCTGCTGCTTCAGCTTCGCGTACTCCGCCACAGCGACGTGGATGTTCTGCTGCACCTGTTCGCACAAACAAACAAACAAAATAAATCTTTAAATCCGCCTCCAGTACAGCGGATTCGGTCCGTTCTGCTCTTCCAGGGAATATTTATGTGTCTCACAAACCTCAGTCTCAATGCAGTTTTTAAGGACATCCATTTCTTTGGAGACCTCGTCGACCTGAACCATCAGCTCCTCTGATCCCTGGAGACTGGGCAGGAAGTCGGTATACCTCTTGTTTATCATGTCGCACACTTCTTCCTATAAACAACAAAAAAACAAACACATGAAGGAAGTTAACAGATTGTTACAGCCACTATAAGTATACTCTCCTCCACCTGTTGAAGTAAATATACCATTAATAACAGAACATACATTGGTTATAGTGTTTTAATCTATTGAACAGCGGTTGCAGCTGTATTGATCACATAATAAACATAAACAAACACATAAACATAAACAATGACATTTACAGACAGCAAGACAACAGCGAACAATCCTAAAGATGCTGGATCATCAACCCACTGTAAGACACCATAATAGTGTTAATATAATAATGTTAATATAATAGTGTTAATATAATAATGTTAATATAATAATGTTAATATAATAGTGTTAATATAATAGTGTTAATATAACAGTGTTAATATAATAATGTTAATATAATAGTGTTAATATAATAATGTTAATATAACAGTGTTAATATAACAGTGTTAATATAACAGTGTTAATATAATAATGTTAATATAACAGTGTTAATATAACAGTGTTAATATAATAGTGTTAATATAATAGTGTTAATATAATAATGTTAATATAATAGTGTTAATATAACAGTGTTAATATAATAGTGTTAATATAATAATGTTAATATAACAGTGTTAATATAATAGTGTTAATATAATAATGTTAATATAATAATGTTAATATAATAATGTTAATATAATAATGTTAATATAATAATGTTGTTTATTTCACCTGTATTTAAATTAAAGGAGACAGCTAACACTCACACAAACACACACATTAAACCTGAGTGTTGTCTGTTCCCGGGAGAGCCGCTAAAACTAAACTAAACTAAACTAAACTAAACTAAATTAAAGTAAAGTAAACTAAAGTAAAGTAAATTAAAGTTAAAGTTAAAGTAAACCCGCTCAGTAAAAAGTTTCCTCGATGCTAACGGCTAGCGGCTAACATTAGCCACAGCTCGAACCTATACTCGGCGAGTGCTAATGCTAGTTAGCTCGCAGACTCTACCTTTGTGTCTTCCACCTTGCGCGACATCTTGCTGATTTTCCCGGACAGGTCTTCTTTCTCCAGTTTGCCGGAGCTGGCCAGCACGTCGGTCACGAACGACGCCATGCTGCATGCTAACGGTACCGGAGCCGTTAGCGTCACCACAACAACCGGGAACCCGCCGGGCCTCCTGATTGGCTGCGAGACGTCACCTGACTGCACGCCCCGCCCGGCCCCGCCCCGCCCCGCCCCCTACACGACTTCTTCTTCTTCGTTTATGGGTTTGATGTGGAATTCAGTTCAAATCAGCTTTTTTTATTTTTTCATTAAATAAGTAAATAAATCAGTTACAGTTGTTTGTGTGTGTTAATAAAAAAAGGAAAATAGTAATAATAATAATTTAAAAAAAATAATAATAATGAAAGTTTTGTCATCAGTATTTTATACTGAAAACCCGGACTTAATTTAATAAATTTACTCTATGACTTTTTGTTTTTTTTTATTACTTTAATTTTTATTTTTTAATTTAATTCTTTATAATAATAAAGTACAGTTGTAACTTTACAGCCAATACAGCGCTCTGTCGGTAGGTGGCGGTAACGCTAATATTAACTTGCGAACCGCCACAATAACCAACACGAAGAAGAAGTGCTGCATCTCTATGGCAACGACAGCTCTAACTTCCAATATCTTTAGTTTCTCCGGTGTTTATTATTATATTAACTACATTTACAAACGCTGTAGCGGTTGGATAATTAAATTCGCTTATTTTATTACGTAAAAGACAAAAAAAAAAAAACCTACATTTGTTTTAACCGTGGCTAACGAAAGGAGCTAACACCCGAGCTAATGGCAGACTGCTGGAACACGGACACCGGGGAGGCCGTGTACCGGTCCCGGGATGTCGTCAAAAACTTGACAATAAAGTAAGAAGCTGACGGTAACGTTAACAGGAGTTGAGCTACACAAACTCTGAGTGTGCTACCACTCCTCTGGAGGGTTGGAGGGGGGGGTTAATCCGTGTGTTTCTCCCCTCCAGGGTGCGCATAGAGAGGGTGACCTCCACCGGAGCTCTCTCTCTGCACCTCCAGCAGCAGGTCCTGTCCCAGCCGGACGGAGGAGCCATTGAACTGGAGACCCTCAGCTCTCAGGGCCAGACAGGTACAGTGCACTCCTGCTGCTGCTGGATGAAGAGGAGGAAGAGTAGCTGCTCCCAATAATGATTTACAGGACAGTTTTTATAGTGTTTGATTAATCATACACACTGATGCTTGACATAGATCCCTTTAACTACAAACTCTACGAACCACTGATGTAAAATACGCATCAGGGACAAGAAAACACAGAGTTTGTCACAACAAAATAAGTATTTGTGAAAAAATACATAATACAGACAGATAATTGTATAAAAAGTTCCCTAAACAGGAAATAATCTGCTCAAAATTCATCCAAATCACTCGTTTTACACAAACTTCCTACAGAGTTCACTGTTTGGGTTCATTGTACAGTTTTACATCCTATGAAATATCCATCAAATATAACACTGCTTTATATTTCTTCACAGAAATGAGTGTAGAGCTGAGGTATAAGCCCGCTGTGTATATATTTATATATAAGTTTTCTTACACCCACAGACTCTGTGTGTGATTGTAGATGTTCTTCTATAACTTGTATTTAAACGTGCTGTTTATGGTGGATGTTTCCTTTTAAGCATGTTTTAATAACTTGACTTTTCTATTATTCTGTCAGCAGGTGATGTTGAGGAGGAGCTGGTGGTGGGCTGGCAGGAGAAACTCTTCAGTCAGGTAGAAATTTGAGTGTTTAATGTCCTCTTCCCACTGATTATAATCGATAAACTTAATATAAAGTGCTTTAGATGAAAAAGAAAGTTGCTGAAAGCTATGTTTACTTTACTTTTTCTTGCGAAACCCGACCTCCTCACCCTCACATCTCTCTGTCGCTGCTCCCAGTACGAGATGGAGCTGTTCCAGAACGAGGCGGCGTGTCAGACCCCTCTGGACCGTCAGTACCACGCTGAAGTCGAGGCCCTGAACCGGGGCAAGGGTCGACGAAACCACAGGATTTTCACATACACTGATCACGACCGCTACACCAACTGTCTCCCCTTCCATCAACTGGTAGGTGATGCCGCATCCTGTAAGGTTAACACCATCAACCAACGAGGAGAGTCTGAAAGTCTAGAAAGAGAAAAAAAGACTGCCGCTTCTGTTCATTCATAAGTTTTCTTAATTCCAAGAGAGGGGAAGCAAACAGAAGGACTCTTTATATTTGTGATAACTGATAGTTTTAATAGTTAGTTTACCTTGTTTGACACCTCAGTGTTCCACAAGAAAGTAAGTAGCTTGTTGTTTTTGATCCTGAAAAGCAGCACACCACTGAACTACTGACCACAACCAAATCCAGCCCCACGTTCCTGGCTGAGAGGATGGCCAGCGTGAGACACAGACGGCAGGACCGACGCACCACGTAGGTCAAACAGCAGCTCGCTTATTCACATGGAGTACATTCATTCGTGTGATGGGACGTTTCTGCCGTGTTTTGCAGAGACTGTAGTATCCCTAAGTCAAAGATCGTCAACTGGGAGCCCACAGAGGAGTTTGTGAAGAGCAGTCATGTGGTGAACAGTACCATGCAGACCATGCACATCATGGGAGACCTGAGTCCCCCTGGAAGGTAAGAACATTAACACCCTAAAGACCCCACTTTGGTCCGGCTCAGTCTTTATTGTTCCCCGTGATCAAACCTTCAGTATGTAGGTGGAGCCGGTGGATCTGAGTCTCAGGTGGGCAGAAATGTTACCGTATGGACTCTTCTTACTTTCCTGTGCAGAGGAAGGACTGTAGCTTTATGAGCGTTGGAGTTAAGCAACCTGTGAACACATTTTTTTATAAGAAGGCTGAGATCTGACAGATTTAAAGGTATAATATGTGACTTTTCTGTGTTAAACCAACTACAAAGAGTATTTAACTGGTTTTGAAACAGTCTCAATTTAATACGGATGCCTCTCAATGAGCTACATAAACAAACGAGACCATCAGTGAGAAGATTGGCTGTTTCTAGGTAGTTATTCTAAATGCCTGCCACCGGGCTGGATTCCCCTTGAAATCAATGAAACATGGCGGTAGAAACACTTCTGCTTTTGTCCACAGAGGGCGCCAGAATCAACACAAAATAAAAGTTTCTTAATGCTGCTTTAAAATGTCTAAAAACAACTGAAATATTGTGTCGAGTTCTGTACTCACATTATCTCAAATGTTTCTAACAATACTGAAAACCCTGCTGGCCTCTAGTGGCTGTAACTTCCAGGTAAACACAGGATACGTCAGATAGATTTTAATCCACAAGGCTTGTTGTTTAACATTAAAAATTAAACATTAATAGGATTTTTTTCCAGAGAAGATATCCAGATGCAGATCTCATGTTACTACCAGGTAGAAATTGCGTGTGAGATACAACCACACAGGTTTCATTGGGAGCTTTATTTAAAATCCAGCTGTGGTTCTGTTGTGATTTACCCTCCATGTGTTGGTTTTCTCAGGCTGGGCCAGAAGGAGAACGAATGTTTGCTGGTCACAATAAAAACAGACGGCAGTGGAACGGTCATTGTAAAACCTGACTTCAACCAAGGCAAAGAGCCCTACAGGCAGGTTCACACCATAGAGACAGCGTGTAGCTCCTGTACTGACGGACGCCATCGCATCAACAACTGTGTGTTGTTTTTCTGCTGTTGTGCAGGATTGTGACGGAGGGCGAGAAGAGAGAAGTTTGGCGTCTCACTCTGGAGAATGTATCCACGACCATGAAGCCAGAAGAGAAGGAGAGGGAGCACAACATGTACAAAGATGTGAGTTCATCTTCATCACATTTACTGCAGGAGTAGACTGAGTATATCTTTAACTGTTTGTGTTCACATTAATGATTATGCACTCTGTTTCTAGCTGTATGTTCGGCACAAGGAGTACCTCAATAGTCTTGTTGGACAGGACTTTGAAATGGTAAGTGATTTAACAAAGGTTACATACAACCAACATATATTCGATTTACCGTCATATATCAGTGGTGTTTCAAACAGGGGCCCTTGAGGGAGTTTTAGGGACCCCCAGCAAGAGGAGGAATAGAATATTATAATAATAAGTTGTAACCACAGGAGAGACTTTATTCTCTTGCCTTAATACTCCGTTGTAGGAGAGAAATGGGGTTTTAAATGATTGTAATTTATGGTGATCGTAGTTGGATTAATTGATTGACAATGAAGACTTTATAATCTTCAAACCTTCAAAAATAAAAAAGATTCCTAAAGATAAAATCCTCTCAAACTGGGGGTCCGTGGTCTGCTGTGCATCCCTCCTTGACATGAAAAAAAGTTTGGGTTAGAAACCAGTAAATCCTCACATTTCACACACATTGTTATTAACACTGGACTGAAAACAAAATAACACTTAAAGTATTTGGTAAAGGCTTTTTCACTCACTGTATGTCTCTCCCATCAGCCCCCTGCAGGGATTCTGCGTTACGTGATGAATGGAGAGATAGGTGAGTAGGAAAGCTGTGGTCATAACAACTGTTTATATTTCTAATATTTCAGTTATTGGCTTTTTAAATCTTCCTCTTCCTCTTCTTCTTTATCCAGTTTCAGCCAAAGGCTTTGAATACGATAACTTGTACATCCACTTCTTCATGGAACTGCCCAACAGTGAGTCACATACAGTAACTGAGACTGTTTATATCCTGATAACTGACGTGTTGTTGTATATATTTATATATATTATGGTACTGGGGATGCGGGGGAATATTCCAAGAATTTCTGTGATTTAAAAAAAACAAAAACTTTGATAATCTCTGAGATTTAATGGTAAATTTATGAGAACAAACTTTTCACAGGAAAAAAAGCCAAATATTCTCTGAGATTATAAAGTCATACAATTGTGAGAAAAACTCAGAAATTCTCACAAATTTACAGGAAAACTCAGGAAGAAAGTTTTTTTGTGAAGGAACCACATTGCTCCATTTTCCAAGGTTGGAAACCAGAGCTGCTGTCTATTATTATTATTAGAGAATCTCTAGTTTTTCTCTTTAATTTATGACTTTAATCTCTGAGAATATCTGAGTTTTTGTCTCTGCCGGCTCTGCAATCATTATTTTATACCTCATATGTTAAATGAACTCAACTGAATTCAATGGAGCACTTGTACACAAACTTGTATTATTCTCATTTTTTTAAGATTGGTCCAGTTTGCCGTTTCAGCCTCACTCAGGCGTCACCCAGACCTGCCGGACCAAAACAGTTGGGAAGGTTTGTGTATTGTTAATAAACCTGTGAACATTATTACAGCGTGGCTGCTGAGCTCTGTTACACCCCCAATGTTTTCTCTGCCGACAGGAAAATGTAGCTTTCTTCAGTTTCCCCTTCACCTTTGAGGCTTTCTACATGTGTGAAAAAGAGAGCGAGGGTTGGTATCAGCTGTGGAGTATTGTCTTATATGCATTAGTTGTATGTTTTAGTTTGTTTTAATGGCTGATATTTGAGTTTTCTCCTCCTTTCAGAGTCGATTCCCCAGTGGCCAGTGCTTTACTTCAAGGTTCTTTCTCTGGACTCCTGGCAGCGCTATCGGACCGAAGGCTACGGCTATCTGCTTTTTCCTGCCGTGCCTGGTATGCTGTGTGCACTGCAACGCTGTTTTATTACAATCAGGGCTGCAACAAGCAGTTATTTTCATTATTGACTGATAATTAATCAAAATGTCAAAACACGACAACAAAAAGCAACAATTCCTGATATTTGAGCTGCTAGAAACAACAAATGTTTAACATTTTTGCTTGAAAAATCACTGAAATTGTTATTATTTATTATTTATTAGTATTTATTATCAGAATATTTGCTGTTAATTTGCTGCTCACTGAATAATTAATTAATCAACTAATTGTTTTTCCGCTGTGTTTACCAAAGACACCATTTGTTTTATATTTTTGATTCTCATTCAGCTGCAAACTTCATTTATAAAGACATTTTGTCAAGTTGTTGGTCTTCTTTGCCCACATTCTGTGTTTGCCAGGTAAACATACAGTGACGTGCCACACGTGGAGACCCCTTCAGACGGGGACGCTCTCTGCACTGAGGCGCTTCTTTATCGGAGGCTCTCCGGAGCTCGAAGACCACAGCTACGTCAGAATACCGGGGACCTTCAAGGTAGACTCAAACCTCGGTTGGAAGCTCGCATTTCCTCTTTTCTTTAATACTTTTCTCTCAAAAATGCACAGATTCACCTGGATTTTATGTTTACATACGTTAAATAGTTGGTGAGGACTCTTCAGAATATGCTTCTGCTAATAGAAAGTGAAGGAAAGAAAGTTAGAAAACATAAAAGAGCTGCAGGTAGATGCAAAATATTTTAAAATTGTACTTTTATTGTCTGATTTTGCCTTTTTTTTATTCCAATTCATTCTTTTTTTGTACAAAATAAAAACCAACATTAAACCCAATGTTTAATCAATCATTATCAATACTCTACACAACCTCACTCACTTAACTCCACTGTAAATGATGCTCTTGATGCCAAATAATCCCCAATAAACCCAAAGTACAATCACTACCAAGTTAAACTGCATTGTATATTTTCCTAAAAGTCTCTCAGTGGTATTTAAAGGTTCCCTGTTAGTTTTATGGAACCTGTTTACGTCCATGTTCGTGCTGTGTCAATAATGATACTGAAGAATGCTTTTTGTTCTACTTCCAGGGAGAGAGGCTGAGTCGCTTTGGCTTCTGCACTGAAAGCACAGGAAGCGTCACCTTCAATCTGCACTGCGTCCAGCAGGCCAGGTGAGTGCTGCGTGGATTCAACCCCGACCTGTTACACTCGTTGTTTTATTTACTGGGTCTCCAGCAGCACAGGACGAGACTGCTTACATGGTGTGTTTGTGATGTTTCAGGGCCTTCGTTGATGCCACCATGTTGAAGAAGAGGAGGCAGAAAGTGTTTGACCAGCTGGGAGGATTTAGTCAGCAGGGAGCTGTCTGCACCATCCTGGGTATTCCAAGAATATTACAACATACAGCAATGTGGTGTACTATACACAATTTGTTGTATTGATCAATAATCTATGAGCTGATCTGTGAATAAGAAGAAGCACTTTTGGACCTATTTTTTGGGAAATTACAAGTTTTTTTCTAATCCATTAGCAGTTAGTTTTTAATTGACTGTATAGTTTGACCATTTTCATCACATACTGTTTGTTCATCAGTATTATTTCTCTCTGTCAGAGGCGTTCCAGAGGGCCAGGAGAAAGATGCAGGAGGCCAGAGAAAGTCTTCCCCGAGAAATCATTAACGCCACCTCCCAGATCGAATCGTCTGCATAGGAAACCAGTGATGATGTATAAAAACAGCCAAACGGATCAGTAATACTGCACTTTCACTGCGTTATTACACAGGAATGTGATGTTCTGTAACGAGTCAGACAGAAGAAAAGTGTCTGATTATTAACGTGTCTGATGGATTTATGTGGTAATGATTCAAATTAATATGCCTTCTAAGAATGGTATCACCATGTATTCTCTGTACACTGCTTGTCTAAGATTTGAGTAAATGGTTATTATTAATTATAGACAGTGAGGATTGTGATGTAACAGAAAATCAAATTTACTTTTTTAGATTATTTTGTATATTTTCAATTAGTTATTTCAAAGAAATGTTAATAATATTTGCTGTAATATAAACTTTTTTTATAAGAAGTATAACCACTTTTATTGTGTATTTTTCCTTTGTGATTGTGATGATCCATCAGTATAATATAGAGTATAATCAGCTATATTATAAATTAATTGACTTGAATTTATTCAATGCAGTTAATTCTAAATATTTTTCTTTCTTAGGTAGTAACAAGACACTTTATTTTAAATGTTGCCAACATGATCTGACAATGCATGTACAGCTAAAACACATTTTTATTTTGTATGTTAAAACCATAAAATGGACAAAGTACAAAAGTTTGCTCTCGAGGGACTGAACATTTGTCTGCAGTTCCACTAAATGTTTTACCCCAAAGGTAAAGTTCAGCTGCGTTGAGATTCAGTTTGTAGGTTCTGGATCACAGAAACTGCCTCTATGATCTGCATTTATTCACTTTCCCTTTTAGTTTGGTTCTGAGGCAACGTTTGATTCGATGTTTGGTCTTTTCTTTTTTAACAGTCAGCAGTAACACTGTGTGAACTATGCCATGGCTACAAAATATTGGTACTTAGTAGGGCTGGGAAATTAATGAAGTTTATTTAGTGTCCTTATTCACTGTTAAAGAGTGATAGAGAACAAACCTACACTCCCTGACCTGAACCTCTATTTGCCACCAAGAGATCTTCAAGGCACCTCGTCATAAAGAGTCTCTGAACTCTTCTTCCAAAAGATACTTCATCATTTGGTGTTTAGATGATGTGACTGTAGATAAACACACACACAGATCCTCCCTGGCGCCGATGTTACGGTTGTTAGCTCAGACACAGCAACAGCTCAGTGTGCTTTCATAAATGGAGTTTGGACTTTGATGAAAGGCGTTACCAGTGTCAGCGGGCCCATATCGTGTCAGCTGATTTTAATTAAAGATGTATTGTCAGTAGGTTAGAGGTGAAAACGGGGGAGGAGGAGGAGGTGTGGGAGATTGTTTTAGATGGCGTAATCGCTGTATTGAGTTTAGGTGGAGGTTTGGGATTTTTATGGTAGGAGGAGGTAACTGATAAGGATCTGTTGACAGTCACACTCTCAGGTCAAAGGATCACTGTGAGTTACAGTAGATCATTCTGAACAGATCTTCTCTCCACGCTGCACGAAGTAAAGAGACTTGATTCTTCACACGGGGTTTGTAATTCTTCAGACGACGAGGATGGCATCTGATCAACGCCTGGGTCTAGACTGAAGGTTAACTGCCGACAGGGAAAGTCCTGCTCGGACAAACAAGGATCCCGCCTGATGTCAGACGCAGATGGTGGACAGTGAACGCACCATCTATTTGAGAAGTGAGTACGGTGTTTTGAATCCATTCGAATGTAAAAGCCAAGGCAGACAGTGCTTATTTCCTGTGTAGTCTGCTTTGTTCCTGTGTTGGAACTGTTCCTTCTGGAGGTCCCATGTGATTCCTGTTGGAAACCATTACAATTTTAAGAAAGGAAATAAAGATGGCTGAACTGAGTTGCCCAAAGGTCAATTTTGGCAGCATGTAACCAGGTTGTGTTTTCTATCTTAGTTAAACGTAGAAGAGATTGTTTAAAGATGGTGTAGAGTAATGTTTGAAGAAAGAGGACAAGAAAGAAGGGAAGAAAATGATAAACTGGCCGACCTTCCAGAAATGGGAGAGAAGCAGAAAGATGAAGAGGAGAAACACAGGACCAGAAGTAGGACTGAACCTCCTCCACATGCTGTCTGTGCCTGCAAGAATGGCTACATGGAGGAAGAACCCCTCAAGCTCAACAACTCCAGGAGGATCTACCGTACTCTGACCTGAATCCTTCACCAGTGACTGGGAAAGGGTCGAGACAAACTAACTTTGCTTCTCCCAGGAAGTCTCCCTTGTCCCTAGCAGCCTCTTGCGACCACTGGCTGGGGAGCCAAAAGGACAAAAGGGGTTGTGATGATGATGTTCCCAGGCTGGTGCTGGGCGACTGTCTGGATACACTTCTTGCACATTCAAAGAGCGGAACAACCAGATGAAGAAACAAAGAGCACGGGAGAGACTGTGGGAGAGGGAGAAGGAGAACGGGTCCATATCTGAAGCTTCAAGGAGACAATAAGTCCAAACTAAGGGGTTACAAATGTGGACGTATTTCCCGACCTTCATCCCTGAGCCTAACGGGTGAGAAGGACCAGATCTAAAGGAATCTTGGCCAGAGGTACGAACTAAGGACCACAGGCACAACCATAGGAGACAGCAGAGGTAACTTTTAGACCACGTAAAGGAATATATCAACTCTGAAGCTGTTGAAGACATTATGCCTGTCTCTCATAAGTCAAACAACCCCTCCATCCTGCATGTAAAGAGACTTTACATGCAGGATGTTTGTTTTCACTTTTAATGGTTATAACACAGATGGCACAGGGTTTTCCCTCCAGTCCCAGTCTGTTTGTTGTGGCTGTAAACTCTGTTACATTGGTAGCCACCATGTTATTGTACACTTCAGTAGGTTGTGTGGAGCTCTCCTGACCCCTGTATGACACATGGGGAAGAACAACAGCCTTTAAAGACTAAAAAACGTTTAACCTAGCTCCCCTTGGCCTCGAACTCATTGCGGAGAATGAATGTTGTTGAATGTGCCCGTGCAGGAGAGAGACAGTCAGACAACTTATTTTCTTTCTGTTTGTAAGTGTGAGGACATATCTTTGAGTTTGAAGAGGACAGGGTCTTTACTTGAAATTTCTATGAGAAATAAAGATGAAACAAATGTTATTGACTATCTAAACAGATATACTGAGTAGGAACAAAGTAGAACAATAGTGGAAAATACTTTCTTTCATTAATCAACTAATGGAACAACCGTAATATATCTGGAGATCAAATACTGGAGGAGGTGTCGGAAAATATGAAAACTTTGAGTCGTTTTAAATAGAGTTTCTAATCAGCGTCGACGGTGAATTTATAAATGCGTCACTGCACTAAAAGAGGGACTGCGTCCATTTTGTTTGAAACAAGGACAAACCACCATCTTGTCTTTACTCAACAGCTGCTGATTTTTATCGCAAGTTCCAACTCTGTGTTTTAAATTAAGTTGAACTGAGATGATTTCTTTAAAAAAAAAAAAAATAATAATAATAATAACCTTTCTGCCTTCTCAGAATGAGTTCATGTCTCTTTATCACCTGACTCCTGGGCTGGTTCTGGATCAGTTCTTTACTTTGATCCTTCTTTAACTGCTTAAATTGTATTTATTATTGGTATCATATATTACCTGTTTTATACTGGACTATCTTTGGAGAACCATTTAACACACAAACTAGCTGTCTCTGGTGCACATATTGTTTATTTTAACAGCACAGGCTGAACAATAGTGAACACATCAGCTGGTAGAGGTCGTTGGCAGACTCAACAATGAGCCTGCATGCAGCACACCCGTTACTGAAAAAGAAAAAGGGACACTTCCTCTTTGACATTTCACTCGTTCGAGCCTTCATGTGCTGATGTATGTGAGTGTTTCTGTGAGTCTATAGATGATGAATAAACCAAACAAGGTGTACTGTCAGTTGGTTAAAGGTGTACTGTGTACTTCAGCACACTCTCCCAACCCTAATACTACTGATTTCTGACTGATTTATAAACATTACAAACCTTCTTCATGCTGAATATATGGACTTAAATACAAAGTGATCTACAATCTGTCCTGTTTTAATAAAAATAAATCTTCTCTCTGACAGGGCGAAGATGATCTGGATCCTTCTGCTCGTCAGCCTGACCTCCTCTGTCTGTGGTTAGTAGGACTGAAACACGTTTGATAAGAGTCCCGCTCTGAACACATCTACATGTCGATAGTCATTCATACTCATAGCGCCACCTACTGAAAACAACAAGGAATCCTTGTCTGTCAACCATCATCTGATTTACGTTAAATTTTGATTGAATTGTGATTGTGTTCATCGTGATATATGCTATGAGGGCCCGATCATCACTGCTTACATCTTTAATTAGCCTTCTTGTTGTTGCTTGTTTTTATGTTCTCATTGTCTCGTCTCTACATTTGATGTTCTGGAGTTGATGCTCAGATACAAACTCTGGTTCTCTGTGTTCACACACCAGGAGGGCTGAAGGAGGAAGCCGGCTCAGATGGTTGGAACCCAGTCCTGATCATTGGAGTCATGCTTGGTGGAGCTGTATTCGTTGTTGGTCTAATATTTCTGGGTGATTCAGCTCTCCAGTGTCTGGCATATCTCATTCGTGGAGCTAACAGCATCATTCAGTTCCTGAGACGGATCATCTGAACAAGTTACAATCGGCAGCATCACTTCTTCCATTCTGGGTCCAAAACAACAGAAAGTTCCTGTCAGCTCGCCTCCGTCCACGATGATTCCTCTATTACAACTTGCAGAGACTTTAAACTTACTAAAGAAACGTCATCCGTTACGACATCCAATTATAGTCTGAACACACGTATTATACAAACGTGCCTGAATGCATCCATCCTGCAAACAGAACAACAACGAGGAAGAACAACGGCACTACTGTTCAATCATAACATAACAGCATCACTATAAAACATTAGCCTGTCTGTCTGTGTGTCTGTCTTTACTGTGACGTACAAATAAGTTACACGTTTCTGCAAGTTGATTCTCATACGACACTGAAGCTTTTGCTCCCTAGCGGCACTTTTAGCTTCTAACATACCTGCTTATTATTAATCTAAGTATACTGTAGTGGTGTGTATTTGTATTGTATCTGTTTCATATTTATAGTACGTGTATATCTGATATCCATGTATACCCATGAACATCTGGTCTCATCATGTGTTATACTGTATAGCTTTCAGAGCTGCTGCTCTTTGCACACTTTTAAAACTTTAAATCATCCATTGTTTTAATCTGATGATGATGTTGCTGTCATTAAAGTCAGTTTGCAATAATTAATAACTCTATTTGTCTGCCTGGATACTGGTTACAGAGTATTTCTTTTTATCTTTAAACATGTGACAAGTGATGAATATACCCTAACCAAACTTATTTTGTGCCTAAACCAAACCAAACTTTAACCACAGTGGTGTAAAATCATAAACTGTCAACTACTAAGCTGCTGAAATGTTACAAATACTCTATAAACTTTACTACTATCCAAATAAAGAGTTACCCACTACGTGTAGCAGCCGATTAGCGTTGCCTTGTCAAATCCTTCTTCTTTAAAATATTTTATAAATGTGTTTTTCCGTAGACGTTCTCGGCTGTGTGTGCATGCCGAAGTTTTGAGGGACTTTTTCAACTTATTGTCAACATCTGAATGTTTTAATCACATCTCATTATCGACTGAATGTGCCTAAAACCAGTGTGTCTGCATTTCTTATGATCACTTCTCATTTCACTATAATAAAGTTCAGCAGGAAA